ATCTGGACGCTGGGAGGTCCATGATCAAGGTGCTGGCAAGGTTTCATTCTCAGCCTCTTTTCTTGGCTCATCAATGCCAGCCTTCTTGCTGTGTCCTCACATGGTAGGGGGTGAGAGCAACGCTCTGGTGTTTATTCTTCTAGGGCACTGAACATATGTGGTCAGGGCCCCACCCTTATGAAGCCATTTAACCTATCTGCATAATATTTTGTCTCCAAATATAGTCACATTGTGAGTTTGGGCTTCAACATATAAGTTTTGAGGGGACACAAACTTTCAGTCCATAACACAACCTGAGCCAATAAGGTTTCAGCCTTTCCTGATGGATCTACCTCGTGATTGGGGAATGCACTCATAGCTCAGCAAGTTTACACGTCTGCCATGGCTTTTACTTACTGGATATGCAAGGCCTCGTGTTCAGCCAGTGACACGTAGCAGGCCTGGACTTTGTCTGGTCTTCCCTGAGTGCATACAGTCTTCTGGAATGGGTATGTTGCATGGGCACTTACTAAAGTGTAGGACATTTCCCTTGTTGCTAGATGTCTCTGTTAAGCTTATGGCTGATTTTCTATCTGTAGTTCACACCAAGCCACCCTGCAACCCCAGGTGTTAGCCATGATGTAGGCCTTCCCCAAGTGTATGCACAGAGATAGCTACTGTTTTCTGTAACATCCTTCAGCGTAGATTTTCCCAGAGTTAATCAAATCAACCCTCTCCATCATCTTGGCCATTGGGCCTCATGGTGGCTTCACCTTAGTGGAACTCCTGTACCACAGAGCTGGGACGGGAGGGAGAACAGTAGAAGCTCAGCCTACATATGCCACAAATTCCGTGGTTTTTTTGAGTGAAAATTCTTCATTTGCTGTATGCTCTTAACAATGTCCTGAGTACTGAAATGATTGTTTTGACAGTTTTCTCCAGTTTATCCCTTCTTGCAAGAGAATTGGCTGACTCTCTTTCAGCCATGCTAGAAGTCTGTGCTCTAGAAGTCTGCACTGATGAGATGCGGAAGGGTAGAAACAGTCATTGTGGGTTGATTGCTGTTACTACATGCAAGTGCCATCTACTGATTCCAGTCTGGATACATAAAAAATACTAGGTGAAAAATCAACATGTTCTATCACATGGAATTCACATTTCAATATCAAAGTAAAATTTAAATTTATGGCTATCCTACTGACTATTTTATTTTATTTTATTTTATTTTTTAATTGAGTTATAATCAGTTTTCAGTGTTGTGTCAATTTCTAGTTTTAGAGCACAATTTTTCAGTTATACATGAACATATATATATTCATTGTCACATTCATTTTTGCTGTGAGTTACCACAAGATCTTGTATATATTTCACTGTTCTATACAGTATAATCTTGTTTATCTATTCTACATATGCCTACTAGTGTCTACAAATTTTGAACTCCTAGTCTGTCCCTTCCCACTCCCCTCCCCCTGGCAACCACAAGTTTGCATTCGATGTCTATGAGTCTATTTCTGTTTTGTATTATGTTTTTTTTAGATTCCACATATAAGCGATCTCATATGGTATATTCTTTC